TCAGTGTAAGGAGAGCTTAGGATAACTTTCCTGGGTTTTTTCCACTCCCTCTCTCTTGGCTTCCCAGGAGAATACCTGAATGATGAGTTTGAGAAATTAGCGAGAGTAGTTTAATCTCTTCTAGAAAACTGACTTGTCTGCAAAGAGTAGAATCTTCTAATGGTTATTGTCCATGTTGTGAGACATACAGAAGCAGGTCTCACCTCTATAGTAAAGAGGCCTCCCCATACAGATGGCCAATAGACATATGAAATGATGCTTAACATCACTAAATGAGATATCACCTCACATCTGTCAAACTGGCTATCATCGATAAATCAACAAACAACAAGTGTTGGCAAGGATGTGGAGAAAAGGGAATTCTTGTCCTCTGCTGGAAGAAATACAGGTTGGTACAGCCACTCTAGAGAGCAGTATGGGGTCACCTCAAAAAATTAAAAATGGAACTGCCATATGACCCAGCAATTAAGCAAAAAAACCCCCCCAAATCTTAGACAGACAATAGTTTGGTGATTACCAGGGGCAAAGGGGTGGCGGAGGGAGTTAGAAGAAGGTAAAGGGTGATGGAAAGAGACTTGACTTGTGAACACAGAATACAATACAGAGATGATGTATTATAGAATTGTCCTCCTGAAACCTATATAATTTTATTACACAATGTCACCCCAATACCTTCCATTTTTAAAAAGAGGTCTACATTTTGTGTGACCTGAAAGACCCCGACATCTAAAGCAATGTATTCTGAATATTTGTCAATAAATAAGGAGTTAAATTCTAGAAGACAAAATATATGCACAAAGAGGCTTTTGGTGAGGTAGGGTATGTAACTTTGAGTTTTACACTTTGGGGTATACTTAGCATGTTTTGATTTCAGCAATTTAAGAAGTTGCATTAAGCCAGGTGGGTTTCCATAGTTGTGTGGATACCTTTTAACTTCTGCAAGAGGCTTTGAGTCTTAAGCCACTTCATATTTTGACCTTGGCAGATGAGTACAGTTTCTGTTAGGTTATTTGCATGACTACAAAGCAAAGCTGTACGTGTTGGCCCTTAAGCAAAAATGTAGTCTTTAGCAATACAATACAGCCCTCAACTAAGTCACCGCAGAGGCCTCAGGCAGCCTCAGGGTGTAGACTACTGCTGCAGCCAGAATCTTTAACAATGACACTGGTCTCAGACCACAGGTGTTGACCTCTTGAAAACCTCAGCAGAACAGGTAGAGCTAGGGGATTTAATGGGCAGGTTTGGCTGAGGTAAGAATTTAAACTCTAGAAGAAAACATTTCAATATATAGTTCCTTAAGGGACTGGTGGGCAGAAAAATATTTGTGCTGATAAAACACAAGCCAGACCACTAGAGCTACAAGCATTAGTGAGGATTAAGCTTTAAATTATTACCATCACTGTTCCGTTTTATGGAAATATTCTGTGTCTCAATCTGGGTGCTGCCTACTTGGATGTGTTCGCTTTGTGGAAGTATATGGAGTTGCGCACTTGATTTATGTACTTTCGTATATGAATGTTTTACTTCAAAAAATGTTTGTGTAAAAAATGATTAGTGACAAGCTTATGTAGAAAGCATTTTAGTTTTCCCAAAGTCTATCCTATGTTTTAATTAAATGTCTTATTGCTGAAACAACTGTTAATCAAGAATTCTGTTACATGAAGCCAAATATATCCTAATGCATTGTCCATTTTATCTGTTTACTAATATCAACTTAAGGTTCTTCATAACAGTCTCCTATAGTATTAAAGACTCTAAGTAAAATAAATTATGTCCCCTTTTCATTCCTGATATTATTCATGTGTAACTTAATATTTATTAAATATTTATATATTATTGATCTTGTTATAAGTTTGTCTACTTTATCAGCTGATTTGTTTTTATGGATCTTCCTAGGGTGTCATCTCTTTTTCATTAATTTCTGTTTTTACTTTTACTATTACCTTTGTTATGGTTTCTTTGAAGGTCTCTGCTTTTTAGGGTTGTAATTCTTTTCTAATTTGCAATTAAATTTTGATATGTTTCTGTTGAATTTCTTTTTGTTTATTCTTCCAGAATTTTGCTGGGCTTTCTAGAACTGGGGATTAATATCTCTCAGCAACCTTGGAAAATTCCCATTTTTAATCTTTAAATATTTCTCCATGCCATCTGCCCATTTTCTCCTTTTGGAACTCCATTGAGATATGTTAGTTTTTCAGTCAGTCCTCCATGTCTCTTAACCTTTCATTTTTTTCCATCTTTGAATCCATGGATAGCGTTCCAGATTAATGGTTTTCATCTTTTCTTCAGTACGTTGTTTCTCTTTTCAGTTGTTTAATCTGCTATTTAATCAGTCCCTGGACTATTTAAATCATATTTTTTAATTTATAGTTCTGCTTTTTAAAAATCTGCTTGGTGGTTCATTATAGTTTCTTATTTCTTACTCATGCTTTCTTTTTTCTGCTTTTATTTCTGGAAGCATACTAAACATAATCATTTTAGATTTTATGACTGATAAAAATTCAATACATGAAGTTTTGCATTTCTGCTTCTGCTGTCTATTTTTTCGCTGGCTCTCACTCCCGGTGTTTTGTGCATGTACGTGTTTTGTGATTTTTAATGTGAACTATTATATTTTTTTAAATTTATCTTCAGTAACTCTTTGAAGCCTGGGTTGAAAATGAGCACTTCCTAAGAAAATACATATTTCTTTCTGCCACTTGTCAAATTTTTACTTGACGTTTTTCAGACCACACAGGCAACAGAAATCCAGACCAAAAACCTTTGTGAGGACTGGTATATTAGTAATCCATATATACATAACAAATTACATAACTAAGCTGCTTTAAACAATAACCATTTATTATCTTTACCTGGTCTTTATAATCTGGGAGTAGCTTACTGGATTGTTCTAGTTCAGGGTCTCACCTTAGGTTGCATTTCAGCTTTTCAGCCTTCAGAGACTGCAGTTACCTAAAGGCTTAACTTCACTGGGACTGAAGGACACACTTTCCAAGTGGCTCACTCACAAACCTCACCAGCCTGTCTGGTTGCCAGGAGGTGGCCTTTGTACCTGGCTTCTCCATTTTACAGTTTGTGAGTCTTCATGACATGGCAGCTGATTTCTCCTAGCATATGTGTTCCAAGAGAGAGAAGCCCAGGAGCCTCAATATCTTATCTGACCTAACCTCAGAAATCACACACAATCACTTCTATAATATCCTATTAGCTATATAAGTAAGCCCTATTCAATGTAGAAGGTGACTACACACAAGAGTGTGAATGCTAGAAGGCAGAAATCACTGGAACCAACTTAGATGCTGGCTACCACACATGGCTTATTGTTGTAAATTATCCAGGGAGATTTTTTTCCTCATAGTCTCCAATACTAAGGTCAAGCCAGGTATGTTTCCTTGTCACCTGATTTTTTTTACAACAGGATTTATGTTTATTTTTATACTAGGGATGCTCCCTTTTGGGTCCTACTATAAGCAGCCATCTCCCATTAAATTCTCTACTTAGGAGGACCTGTGATCCATGTGGTGATCAAAATGCTCAAGGCCTATGGGTTAGTCAGAAAGACTCAAAGTGAATGCTGGGCATTAGGCTTCCAGAATTCCCCTTGTAATTCAGAGCAGGAATTTGGCGATTTCTTCAATGCCAGCCCAGCAACACATTTAAAATCTTTTTAAAATAATATTTTATTCAGTATTTTCATTGAAACAGTAGATTTGTTCAAATTAACTCTTCATTATATAGTCAGGAGTACATACAATTAAAAATGCTTCCTTAAATTTGCACTATTATTCTATTTTTAATTTTTTAGAAGGGAATTCTTGCCGATTTAACCTCAATCTATCTTCTGCCACATATGTATTTAAAACTTATAATGTTCCTCTTGATACTGTTTCAGCCATTTCTTACAAGTTTTGAAATGTATGGGTTCTATTGTCATTCAGTTCTAAATATATTCTAATTCCCCAATATATTTTATTCTTTGGCTCATGAATAGTTTTTTTTTTAAAAATAGTTTAATGTATTTTAATAGCAAACTTATAGGATCGGCACAGAAAACAGACAGCATTACAAACATGTACATGCATGTACATGGACAACTCAGAAAAGTATCATGCGTGGATGGAATCTGCTGTATGATAAAAATGCTACAAACACCAGCTAGTGGCTATCAATAAGAAATTCACTTATTTTTTTAAAAAATCCAAAATCTGGCCCTAGCTAGTGTGGCTCAATGGATTGTGTGCTGGCCTGTGAACCCAAGGGTTGCTGGTTCAATTCCCAGTCAGGGTACATGCCTGGGTTGTGGGCCAGATCCCCAGTAGGGGGCGTACAAGAAGCCACACATTAATTTTCCTCCTTCTCCTTCTCCCCCCTTTCCTCTCTCTCTAAAAATAAATAAATAAAATCATTTTTAAAAATCCAAAATTTGGCATTGTCCAGAAAAATTTAACAGGTTTATTTATAGTCATAAAGTTCAACTGCTGAAACTTGTTCCCTGAAACATTTTGACTTACATTAATGCTTTATATCTGCGCATGTATATTTTAAAAATTCACACACACACACAAATCAAAATGGAAAAACTACCAATATATGATTTCTGTCCCATATTTTCCACTTGCATTCATATACTTGGCAACCTTTTGACCCCAATGGAAAAAAAAAACACCTAACATTCAGAACTACCAATAACAGAAAGAAGAGAAATTTTTTTAAAGAATGAATGTTTCCCATCATAATGTATTTTTTTAAAGATTTTTAATTTATTTTTTTAGAGAGAGGGGAAGGGAGGGAGAGAAACATCAATGTGTGAGAGATACCTCACATGTTCCCAGCTGGAGACCAGGTCCACAACCCAGAGCCCTGACCAGGAATTGAACTGGTGACCCTTTAGTTCACAGGCTGGTGCACAATCCACACCAGCCAGGGCTCCATCACAGTGTATTCTTAATCACGTTCTCCAGGTATGTGGTATGCTAGCTGGATGTCTTTTGGCATAATTGTTACACTTTTCGCTTGGATGGTGCACAGGTTGGTTTCTTCAATAAGGCCAACCAGATAGGTTTCATTTGGCTCCTGCAAAGCACCAGCAGCTGTGCTCTTGAAGTGCATATCTGTTCAAAGTCCTGAACAATTTCTTGCACCAGATGCTGGAAGGGAAGTTTATAAATCAGAAGTTTGTTGGGCTTCTGATAACATCTAATTTCACAAAGTGCCATGGTACCAGGCCTGTAACGATGAGGTTTCTTCACCCTTCCAGTAAAGGGTGCACTTTTGTAAGCAGCTTTGGTAGCTACTTGGTTCCTCAGTGCTTTACCACCCTTGGTTATGTGGGTCATCTGCTTTGTAGGAGCCATGCTATAGTGACCTCTTTATTTACCACCCTTCTCCTTCAGCTGGAGCTCAGGGAGCTGGAGGGGGCACGGGTGTTAGAGAGTGATGAGGCACAGCAGTGCCTACAAACACAGCAGGCTCATGAGTTGTTCAAGTGTGTTTTATAAATAATTTTAAGCAATTAATTTTTGATTAGTTAATATATTCATAAACATAAAAAAATGTGAAGAGGTATTTGGTGAAAAGTTTTCATCCTACAACTGATTCATCCATATGGTGTCATACACTGTTGGCAATACAAATGTACACTATTAAATATTTTGGGTATATTTTGAAATAATTTCTGTATGCAATTTGCATGTATATATAAAAATTATTTCAAAAGGTATATTTGGCCGAAAAATAAGTATTTTTTTCTATAAAATAAAAGATACATTTTTAATTTTTACCAATAACATTATTGATTTAGATATTTTGAGTAGGTCAGCTATCTCTTACATGGCATAACGTTGATTGTTCTCAGTTAATGTCTTGATTTAATCAATATCAACTTCAACTGATCTACCAGACAGTGGAACATTGTCCAGTGAGAAATCTCTAGCGCGAAATTTCACAAACCACTTTTGACTTGTTTGATCAGTCACAGCACCTTCTCCATACACTGCACAATTTTTTTTTTTGCATTTCAGTTTTGTTTTTTCTTTCTTGAAATAATAAAGCATAATACGTTGAAAATGTTGCTTATTTTTTTCTATCTTCGATATTAAGACGGCTACACAAAAATTCACCAATTTTGATAAGTTTTAAAAATGCACTCTGATCTGACAGCTGTCACAATACAATCTAACAGAATTGTTTCAAATGAAGTTAAAGACAACTAAGCACTACTAGAGCCATCTTATAGAAAAAAACAAAAGAACATTTTGGCCAACCCAATATACAGGTATATACCTTTTACAAATGGTATTATATATTAAAAATACTCTGGCCCTGGCCAGGTAGCTCAGTTAGTTAGAACATCATCCCCATATGCCAAGGTTGCATGTCTGACTCCCAGTCAGGGCACATAAAAGGAGCAACCAATAATGCATAAATGGATGAAACAGCAAATCAATATTTCTCTCTAAAAAAAAATCAATAAAATTTTTTTTACAAAATGTTGATAAATATATGAGTTGCTATAAAAACATTAAAATTATTTTAAAAGTATCTTTAAAAGATAATTGACTATTAAAACAAAGATAAGAAATATAATGTCAGATTTATAGCATGTAAAAATAAGTTATATGACAGTGATAGGACACAGATCAGAACTGGAGAAATGAAAGTATACTACTGTGTATTCTTGTATTATTTGTGAAGTAGTATGTTATTTTAAAGTAGACAGAAATAAGTTAAAGGTCTATACTAAAGATCATAAGGCAATTACTGAAAACAGAACAAAACAAGAAACTGAAAGCACTAGAGCTAATAAGAGAATGAAAGAGAAACACAAGCAATACTCAGTCCAAAAGAAGGCAAAAGAGACAGAGAGAGAGAACAATGAATAAATGGGACAAATAAAATAAAATAGCAAGTAAGTAGCATTAAATCTACAATATAAAAAAACAATTTAACATTAAATCTTCTTAACATCCTATTAAAAAACAGAGATTGTCAAATTGGATTTTTAAAGTAATATTTAACTACATAGGACCTTCAAGGAACTCTCTTTAAAATAAAGACACCAACAGATGTAACAAGATATGAAATTACATACCTGGCTAATACAAAAGAAAAGAAAGCTGGAATGTTTTCCAATTTCCAGAATGGCATTAAGAACCTCTGAAAATTTACTTCTGGTCAAGATGGCAGCATAGGTAAACATGGTACTCTTCTCTTCCCACAACCACATCAAAATTACAACTAAACTACAGAACAACCATCATTCAGAACTGTCAGAAATCAAGCTGAATAGAAGTCTTACAATTACAGAATTAATGCAGAAATCAAATTGAGACTGGTAAGAAGGACAAAGATGCTGAATGGGCTGATCCCAAACCCACATGTAACACATAAAAATCAAGAGGCATGTTTCTGCTGCAGAGGTCCCCCTTGAGGAGTGAGGGGTCCCAACCCCACACCAGGCCCCCCAGTCCAGGGTTCCAGTGCCAGGAAGAGAGGTCCTCATAACTTCTGGCTGTAAAAAACAGCGAGAATGAGGCTGAGGAAGAAGGAAACTTCTGGAGCCTCTGAAAGGGCCCACACACAAACTTACTTGGACTCACTCCCTCTAAGCTTCAGGATGGGAGCAGCAGCTTGAAAGGCACCAGAGACATACTGGGAGGAACTGAATTGTCTGGCTTCAGGGGAAGAGCTATAGGGGCAGCTTTCTCCCAGACAGAAGTGCTAGCAGAGGCAATTTTTCTTTTGCTGAGCCCTCTCCCCACAGAGCCAACATGTGGGTGCCACATCTGAAACTCCATCCACCTGGCCCACATTGTTTGCCCTGCCCTCGTGATTCCCTGAGGCCCCACCCAACCCAACTTTCAGTCCCACCCAAGATATTTCCAGTGGCTTTTCCATATGAATGGCTTGTCTTTTTTGTTTTTTGCTTTTAGTTTTTATTTATTTAATTTTAGAGAGAAGGGAAAGAAAGGAGAAAGAGATGGAGAGAAACATCTATGGGAGAGAGAAACATCGATCATCTTCTTCTTCTAACACATGCCTAGACCAGGAACTGAACCTGCAACCTAGGCATGTACCCTGACCAAGAATTGAACTGGTAACCCTTCATCTTGTGGGAAAATGCCCAATCAACTGAGCCACACCAGTCAGGGCACCAATGGCTTGTGTTGGCTCATGCTTCATATTTTCCTAAATTCTTTCAAGCAAGAAGAATCTGGCTTCAGCAAGCCCCATGTTTCTCATTAAGTGGCCCCAGGCCTGGCATAGCAGCAGCCAGCCTTGGTTCACAGCTTGGCCTCGTCTGGGTACCTCCAAACCCAACACAAGTACCAGCCATCTGCAGATCACTGTGTAGCTTATGTCCAGTGGCCCCGAGCAGAACACAGGTGGTGGGTGACCTTGGCCTGCACCTCCCAAGAGGCATCAGAGCCAGCAGACAGCTTCAGACAACATAGAAGCACCGCCCAACCACCTCCACAAGTGACATATTCAAGGGGCAGACTCAGTGAGAACCAGAGCCCTGCTGAAGTAAGACCTAGTCTGTGGAGTGGGCCCCTGCACAACTGATCCTCCATGGTGGCCAGAGGTTGGTGGTCAGTGGTCACAGCCAGTCCTTGCAGCTAATTGGCCTGGGTAAGTCCTTCCCATTGACTTGCCAACAGCAATCAAGGCCCAATTACAATAGGAGGATATACACAGCCCACGTGGTGGGTGCACCTCAAGAACCCAGCTTGGGTGATAGAGCAGGCTGTATCACTGGATCCTCTAGGACACCTACTACATTAGAACACTCTACCAAGCCTGAGAGACATAGCAGCTCTAGCTAATACATAGAAACAAACACAGGGAGGTTGCTAAAATAATGAGACAAAGAAACATGGCCTAAATGAAAGAGTAGAACAAAACTCCAGAAAAAGAACTAAACAAAATGGAAACAAGTGATCTACTTGACGCAGAGTCCAAAACACTGATTATAAAAATGCTCAATGCACTTAGTGAGAATCTCAATAGCATAAAAAAGAACCAATCAGAAATGAAGTATAAACTAAGTGAAATAAAGAATAATTTACAGGGACTCAACAGTAGAGTGGATGAAGCTGAGAATCAAATCAGTGATTTGGACTATAAGGAAGCAAAAAGCACCCAATCAGAACAGTTAGAAGTAAAAAAGAGTCCGAAAAAAATGAGGATAGTGTAAAAAGTCTCTGGGATAACTTTAAGCATACCAACATTCGCATAATGGGGGTGCCAAAAAGTGAAGAGAGAGACCAAGAAATTGAGAGCCTATTTGAAAGAAATGACAGAAAACTTTCCTAACTTGGTAAAGAAATAAGATATAAAAGTCCAGGAAGTGCAGAAAGTCTCAAACAAGATGAACCCAAAGAGACCCACATCAAGATACATCATAATTAAAATGCCAAAAGTAAAGACAACAAGAGAATCTTAAAAGCAACAAGAGAAAAGCAGTTATTTACCTTCAAGTGTGCTCCAATAAGACTGTCAGCCGAGTTCTTAAAAGAAACTTTGCAGGCAAGAAGGGATTGGCAAGAAATATTTAAAGTGATGAAAAAACAAGGACCTACAACCAAGATTACTGTACCCAGCAAAGCTATCATTTGGAATAGAAGGACAGATAAAGACCTTTGCAGATGAGAAAAAGCTAAATGAGTTCATCACCACCAAATCAGTATTATATGAAAAGTTAAAGAGCCTTCTTTAAGAAGATAAAAAATATGAACAATAAAATGGCAATAAATACACATGTATCAACAATTGAATTTAAAAAAATAAATGAACAAGAAGAACAGAAACAGAATCATAGATATAGAGAACATTTTGATGTTTGCCAGATATGAGCGGGGTTGAGGGAATAATGAAAAAGGTGATGATATTAAGAAATACAGATTTGTTATTAAAGAATAGTCAAGAGGATGAGAATATAGTCAATAATATTCTAATAACTACGTATCATGTCAGATGGGTGCAAGATTTATCGGGATGACCACTTATCTAGGTATGTAATGTCCAACCACTGGGGTGTGCACCTGAAACTAATATAATGTACGTCAACTATAATTAAAAATAAAAATAATTTTAAAATAATAAAATTTAAAAGGACCTCTGAAAATTAGCTCCTCCATAAAGGCAATGATAAATCTAAAAAAAAACAAAAAACAAAAAAACTCTCAAGAATCTAAATTTTCAGACCCTTGAAATTAAACAGAAACTTTCAATAATCTGACCAGTGTTTTGCAAAGAAAAATGATTGAATATCAGTAATAACAATGAGCTTTGAGGTTTTTTTACTTTCCCTAATTCAATATTCTGTTATCTAGATACAAAGTATCATCAAAAA